GGGCTCGCTGTCTTGCCGTTTTCGACCGGGAATACTAACATTGGTGGATGGATTCTCGTCGATTGGTTAAGGAACGCAATCGTCCCGTTCTGCCTTGAGGCTCACTCTCGAGCCTCTTCGTCGATGATGTTCTCCTGCCTATACTACTAGCCGCTGTGCGGCTGTTGGCGGGGCCCGAAACTGTGCCGCAAGACAGAACGCAGGACAACTGAACCCCCTCCCCCCAACCGATCGGGCAATGTCCATTTACAGATTCTTTTGGTTGTGGATGTCCAACATATCCGTTAAGACCGAACTTCAGACTAACAAAGAACAGCAGCGGAATATCCCCGTTCGCCTTTAGTTAGAAGCTCACTCATTCAGGAGCTCGTAAAAGATCAGATCAAAGTGCATGGAGTCTACGTAGGCAATCCTTTCTTAACTTGTGAAGACGGTGTAAATTTGACTGTAAGGCATGCAGACGAACGAAATCCACTTGATCCTTCGCCCTTTTTCGACTGCGTGAATCCCCTCATTAGTTGCTTCAGTATGAATTGACTGCTTTCCATGCTTTTTTTCCTCGAAAGCTTTATGGAAAAACGCTGTATGATGCCATCAAAAAAGAAACGTCGGGAGATTTCAAAGAACTTCTACTGGCAGTTGGTAAGTTCATAACTGAGAGGTCTATTTACTGGCCAGTAAAACCTTCTGTAGATGGTTAGGCAGTACGTTTGGGTTTTATGGTTGACCGAAGGTCATATCCTGCTTCTTTTATACGTAACGCTGCTGCATTCAAATTCACGTCTATTGAAACCATCAACTTATTCCCTCTACCTAGTGACCTATGCTTTGGATCGACCCCTGTTTATTGCTCAAACTCTTCGTGCCTCTATGGCCGGCGCCGGCACGTGGGACTCCACGCTGATGCGTCAACTGGTGCTTCGTTCCGATGTAAGTATATTTCAAACAAACATTTCTACTGAAACCGTACGAGTAGGCCCAATTAAAAGCATTACATTTGTGTGTATTTAGATCGACCTGGAGAGTGCGAAACGCAAGTTTGAGGAAACAGAGGGACAGACACTAGAGCAGTGGATTAAAGGCGACACATCTGGAGACTACCAGAAGCTCTGCCTTGCACTTGCCGCCTCACCAAATGACGTCTAGTGCACATGGACCAGTTTTTTTTTCGCTGCACGATTATGAGAACACCTGAATTCCCATCACATCGTTCCGCTTCTGTCACTTCAATATCAACTTTATTTCTGTCTGCCGGGAAAACAAACTCATTTCTTTTTGCTTCGCCGTTGGCCCTTTGCTTTCTCTCTTCCGTGTGTGTGTTCAATAAAGATATGATCTTCTCTTACGGTCGTCTATGCAATCACCAAATGGTTTGCTGCCGTATTATTTTGCAAACGGCGTTTTCGGGTGAATTCGGAGATAAGTTGGACTCGCGTTCATGATGTGCACAGAAAGGTTGGTTATTTCTAAATTTACTTTTCCTTAAAAAAGTTGCTCAACAAGCAGAGGAACACTACCATTTAATTCATCTGAAAAATTTGGGTTGTGCATAAGTGCATGTGATCAATTTCACTGAATCGATTAGATAGAAAAGTGCCGTGGGTTTATCGCAGGGGGTTAAGTAAGCTAAACCCTAGCAACTGCGATCTTCAAACCATGGCTACTTAGGAGAGAAGAGAGAAGACGGTGGGAAAACCAGAGTGTTAGGAATAGTGTATTCTGCACAGAAGGATAGGGGAATAGAGTTTTGACTCTCGGGGACTGCAGTCCGGCTGCGATGGCGTCAATTCCGGAGTGACGAGAGCGTCGGAAATCGCTGAAATGCCAGCGCATGCTTTGTTACGGCTGCCAATCACGCGGTGAATCTCTAGACTAG